CCTGCCGGGGGCCGGGGCGCTGGGGCCGCCTCCTCTCCACCCCCTTTCTCGGCGTTTTCCTTTCAGGAGCGTTTCTTTTTTTCCCTCGGCTTCTCTCGCGCTTTTTCTCTCGGCGTTCTAGTTCAGGCGCGCTGCCGGTAGGCCCTCCATACAGCCAAACTTGTTGTCTCAGGATATCCCGCCCCCTACTCATTTCCCAGCGACCTCCCCTCAAAAGCCCCCTCCAGCGTCCCCTGCGAATTGCCGCAAGAGAAAAAGTAGGGCTCTCGCGCCAGAGAACCGACAAGGGCAGCTGTGAGGACGCACCGACCGCCGGGCGCTCAGCGTGCCGGACCAGACGCCCGCTGCCCCTACGCAGGGAGCATGGCTTTCCTGAGGCGCATCCGGACCCGGGCGCCCTTTTTCTGTGGTCCGCTCCCCATTGGCTTAGCTCACGGTGACGCGCGCTGAGTGGTGGGAGAAAGGGGGCGGGGCGCCGCCGCAAAGCCTGTCGGCCCTTGTAGTTCGCCGCATCCGCGGCGGCCCCTCCAAGGCCCCGCCTCCCTCCCGCCCCCGACTGAGGCCGGGCTGCGGAGCGGAAAGCTGCCTGAGGGGGCGGTGGCGGCAGGGCGTGGCCGGGGCCGAGTGGGAGTTGAACTGAGAGAGGGGGAGGGGGCATGGGGGAATGGGTGTTGTTTGCCTGGGCCTATCCGCCGCGCGGGGCTGCCCAGGCCACCTCTGCCACCGCCTCCCCGGCTCCAAGCCGCTCCCCGCGGGGCGAGCTCACACCCGGAGCGCTCGGCGATTGAGCGGGCGGCGGCGTGGGGAGGCGGGGTTTGCTGTCCTCAGGGTTTGAATGAACCCGGCTTCTCTTTAACAGTGCCTGCGCCCTCCCTTTCTTTGCTCGCCTTATCCTTCCAGACCCCCTGCTTCGAAGGCTGGGCCTGTGTTCCTGCAGAGAAGGATCTTCCATTGTAGGTGTTTTTCTCGATAGTGGAGCAGAGACCCGGTGGTTAAGGTTGCATCGTGTTTTGCAGAACAGCCCGCATAGTTGGCGGGCTTCTCTAGCTGGTCGGCCTCACTAGATGATCAAGGCGAAGGAAGAAGGCCAAGTCCATGTGGGTCAACCTAGCTCACGTATAAGCTTCAGGGCGGGTGGAAATCTGGCTACACAAAGCTATTAATTGTCAATTGCACACCAGCAGTCTCCTGCCCTGGCTTTTCTGCAAATCCTGAAGTCAAGGAGATGCTGGGGGGGATATAATCAGCACCTGATAAAGTGTCCCAAAGGTGGAGGTGAAACGCTAATGTAAATATTGACCTTGGGGACAAGGCACCCTTACACTCTCGGGCTAACAGCCACCTACACACTTTTTGCCTGGCCTCCACTCTCCGCTCTGGGCCTTTTTGTCTCTGCCTGAGGCCTGATGTGTTGCAAGGGTGAGGAGATTCCAGGTGCTGCACTTGACAGGCATCTCCCTGCTTGTTAAAGTAATTGCAACACTGGCTGATGACAAAGCCTCTCAGCAAGACAAAGCAATTGTAATAAAGAATCCCCTTGTATTGTCTACCCCATCTTATTCAAGGAGCCTAAAATCCTGAAATAACCGGTTTGCTTTTTTCACCCATCACATACAATATGGCTTAAGTAGAAAGAAAAGGTTTGAAGTGATGCCAACATATGTACAAATGTGCTTGACACAGTGGATGGCGGTATGTTATGTGATAACAGCTGTAAGAGTCCCCAATAAAAAGTATTTCGTTTTTAAAAAGTGTTTTTTGCATTCACAGATATTGTCGTGTCCTTTTCGTTGTTGCTGTTCTGCAAACACACCATGATGAATGAAAGACATTTGCAGCCTTGTGAATGGGAGCATTCCTTGTAGTTTCCCTACTTAAAAAGAAAAAAAAAAATTGTGCTTCTCAAAGACAACTCACTGACAGACACTGAACTGCAGGATAAAAAGAATGGTTATCCGTGCAGTAAAATCTACAGAGTATTCTAAACAGCCTGTGCCCTATAGATAAGTGGTACTACTGGTTAGCATAGGTAACAAGCTCTGTATTTCACAGTGGACCAAAAAGCATCCAATCCCCACCCGCCCCTTCCTAATAAATTAATCAGTCCTCAGGCACCATCATTTTATTATCTATCTAATAGAAGTTTTCGTTGGATGAGGAATTTCCAAAATTATAGTCGTTCTCACAGCACCGTCCCACTTTAAGCTATGCACCATTTGTCCTATGATTTACTTAATGTTTTTCTTTAAACCATTGTACCTTTTTTCCTGACATCCTCAACAAAGGAAGTTTCTGTCAGTACCATCCCTATAGAGGGTAAGGGTAAGAATAATCGAAATTCTCAGCTTCAGGCTTGCCAGGTGGTCTCTTCCCTGAGGAAGCAGTTGACCTAGAAAAGAATAGTTCCTTCCTGTACAGAATGGTGGTTTTCAAACTTTTTAAAATTCCTGATGCATAAGAATAAGTATTTTTAGATTATAAACTAATATGTACACACACACACACAAGGTCGACATCTTTATTCAAATTACTGAAAAGTATGACACTGACCAATCAGATCACACAGTGGTAATGCTTCAGCTTTATGCTTCAGCCCTGTCCTATAGAAGCCTCTGCCCTTCTTCCTTACCTTTGTGCTTGCTGGTCAATAGAGAGAAAACACTGGGTGTGGGCAGGGGACTTGGGAACTAGTTATTAGTCAAGGAGTGACATCTGGTAGAGCCACCTCAATAATTATCAGTTGAACAGGCACCAATTATTCTAACTGAATAAAAGCTTCAAGGTGGGGCGGATACCTTGCTCTCGCTATATGTTGAGGTCGATCAAACATTTTATTAGTGAGCTAAAGTCTAGAAAGATAGAGCTCCGTGGGCTTTTCCCTCTCCCTGTAGGTCTACTTTTCTGGAGCAGAAAGTCTGTGTTTCTATGGACACTGAAGAACAGGTCTAGACTGGGCAGGGCTCCTGTGCATTGCCCCACACACTTAAACCAACTCTCTGCCTACATTTGGGGAAACAAAACAAAATTGCTGGGGTTTTTTTGTTTTTTACAGATATAATAAAGCTCTGCTAGTCCCTATGTTCTAGAAACTGACACTTCTCAGTAGACCCATACATGAAAGCAATGCTTTTCGAATGCCACATACCATCACGAACTTCTCCCCCAGGACAAGCCCTTAGCTCCCTAAGAACAAAGACACGGTATTTGAATCCCCCTAATGCCGAGCATACAATTGTTGTTGTTAGATGCTGTGGAGGTGCTTCCAAGTCGCAGCTGCCCTATGCAACAAAAGAACGACACACTGCCCAGTCCTGCACCATCCTCACAATTGTTCTTGTGTGTGAGCTCATCTGTGTATTGAGCATGTATTTAATGAGGTAAATGTGTGCATATGAGTGAATGTGACAGAAGCAGCTCCAGCGGTTACTTAGCTTAATATTATAGAAAAAGAGACTGAGGTCCC